AATGAAGAAACAAACATGTTCATAAAAAACACACACATTTTATTACAATACGATTTACATACCATCTGAATTTACAGTGAAATAATGGGTAGGGTCTGTGAGGAAACAGTGGACGAAGGCATTTATCTTTATCTTCGTTTTGGTATGTTTTTGATCGTATGCAAACTCTCGACGCAAAGCAATTTTCCACCATGAGATTTTTCAGCACGATTTGACCTGGAACAACTTCCTTTGACATAACAGGTCATGTCTTTCATTAACCAATCAAAATGATGTGTCGTAATGATGAAATTTTCCGATTATTACGATGATTTTTAACGCAATGCGGAAATGAATTACCGCAATGTTAAAATACGATCTGTAGCACTGATTGCAACGAAAAAACAATGATATTTTCCCTAAAAACTGGCGATTCGCAATTTCCGAAATATAAACGACGGTTAATAGTAACCGTGGGTAAACTGAGTGTGGAGGAAGAATTTAAACACCTTTCACGGTCGCCAACATGTCACATCGTTCAAACCCTAGGCCTTTCATGATAGTCTCAAAGTAAACCATGCCCAATAACCAGGTACACGACTTAACCATCACATTTTTGGCTTTTCGAAAGCTACTACTCAAAGAAATTTGGATTACTCCAGAATTGCAACATCGATGTTCATCCTGAGAAAATGAAGAATAGAAAGGATGCGAACCACGTTATGTACGTTCGCCATGCACTCAGCAATTAATGCGAGTTTTCTAATAAAACTAAAAGCATGAACCAAACCACCAAGCCAATCACAATTATTATGAAATGAAACACACCTTTTACACGCATATTTTAAAGAATATCGTCGACGCCCAGTAAAAACACTCTGGGCTTATAATCGTGAATGATCTCAACTCGATAAATACCAAGTAAAAATATAGGGATGGCTTCATACTCGGGAGGGGCTTACGATCGGGGAAGTACGGTACTTTAACGCAATTGGACTTTCACTCTTAGAATACGCATAAGGCTTTAACCCAAGTTTTAAAAAGCACATTGTGCATATACAAGTTGAGTTTATACTAGTAGTACACAATGCTTGGCAGCATGAACAGCTATGTACAATGGCGTATACGAATTTGATCAGATACTAAAACGTCATAGCTTTGAAAAGTACCCGGATGTTAAATATGTTCGTTCGTTATTTATTCCCCTCCATGAATGGCCTCCATGGTGTTTAACTGCAAGCACTTCAAATGCCTATCCAAGCTACAGTTATAATTAAAACAAAATTAAACCACTGCAATTTTATTTCGAATACAGTTTAGAATATACACAACTATAAATTAAGCCCGCATTTAGGTTCGCTTTAAGATATATAGTTTTGTTTATAGTAATATAGCTGGAATATAGCCATGTCAGGAATACGATTATGATGATTGTTTAACATTAAAATGATTGACATTTGTATCTGATCATCAAACAAGTACTTGTCCATATTGAGAGATATTGCTCTGGAACAGCATTAATTAAAACAAGTCATTGTCAATGACACGTCCCCGTTCCGTTCATATTTGAGTGACATATACATTCAAAGCAGATCATGACCGAAATGCACCTGCATATGTACAACACATTGTGCTAAATCTGAACAAAATCCATCCATGCATGACTGTGAAAATACGTGATTTTGATGCATTTTCGGCCTTAAAATGGCCATCATTTCGCTATTGTTAAGCAGATCATGAAACAAAGGCACATATCTATTTGTGACATGATGTACCATGTGTGTGTGAAGTTTGAACTTGATCAATCCAGACATGTCTTGGATACGGATCCAGAACTGAATTCTTTAACAAAATGGCCGCTAGTCGGCCATTTCGAACTTGATCCGAAAAAAAAAAAAGACGTGCATCAAGGTCCTATTATGTTTAATGTATGTACCAAATTTGAACAAAATCCATCCATGCATAACTGAGATACGGGTCCGGAATGGTGAAAATGTGCGATTTCAATGCATTTTCGGCCTTAAAGCGGCCGCCATTTGGCTATCGTTAATGAGATCATGAAACAAATGCACATACATATTTGTGACATGATGTACCTTGTGTGTGTGAAGTTTGAACTCGATCAATCCAAGCATGTCTCGGATACGGATCCAGAACTGAATTCTTTAAAACAAAATGGCCGCCAGTCGGCTATTTCGAACTTGATCCGAAAAAAAAAATGACGTGCATCAAGGTCCTATTATGTTTAATGTATGTACCAAGTTTGAATGAAATCCGTCCATGCATAACTGAGATCCGGGTCCGGAATGGTGAAAATGTGCGATTTCAATGCATTTTCGGCCTTAAAGCGGCCGCCATTTGGCTATCATTAATGAGATCATGAAACAATACACATACATATTTGTGACATG